TTCTTGATTCCAAACAGCTTCTCCAAAAATTTACTAATTTTCAGCTAAATTTGTATTTTTAATGAATAACTTTTTGCCGACCCTTTGCATTTAATTACCAAAATTTTCAATTTTTAAATGAGATGAAAAACATTTCATTATTTTACTTTTTTCCTAACAACACTTAATACGTGCGCGTGTTTGATGAAATAAACTATTAGCAATGTTAATTTGTTTCCCTTTACGTTAGATTTGCCACAAGCCGATACAGAGAGCCAACTGGGCACAACACAACAAACGTTTATATGCATTTGACAAACTATGCCGTAAATAAACACAGCCGCACTTATGTGGTTGACGATGAATTAGGAAGTAAGAGAAAAATATCGACGCTAAACAAATGGTTTGAATCAAAAGATTACAATTTAGAAGATATTTGGGCTAGTACGGACGATGTTATTATTAAAACGATAATAGCAGCACATCCAATGTTAAAACACAGCTACCATACTTGTTTTCCCACCCACGATTATACTTACGCCTGTTTTGAATTACTCGGCTTTGACATACTCCTAGACCAAAATCTAAAGCCCTATGTTTTAGAGGTAAACAAAAAAGTCCATTATTACTAAAATTAAATTATAAACAACGTAATTAGGAATGAGCTAAAGTTATCCCTACAATATTCCATTATATACTGAAATAATCAATTTAAAATATGTTTACATATTATGTATTAACGTTAAATTTTTCTTTTATTTAATAAAATATTTAAATAAAAGTAGATAATTTACAATAAGAATATTTTTACAGGTAAATCATTCTCCTAGTTTTCATTGCGATTCACAAATAGACAAGGATATAAAAGAAGGATTACTCAGGGATACATTTGAAATATTGAATCTGCAGCAATGCGATAAAAGAAAAATAATGGAAGAAGACAGAAGAAGAATTCGAGAAAGGCTTTTACAAGGAATATATAAGGAACAAAACAACAGGTTATAAAATTTTTTGATTTTTTTACGAAAAAAGAAAACTAATTATTTATATTTCACGATTACGCGAGTCAAAAAATTTTTTTTTTTTTTTTTTTTTAGTGATGTTGGAACAACTCCTACAAGAAATCCTTTACAAATGCAAACAGACTGGGAAGAAAAACACAAAGGAAATTTTAGAAAAATTTATCCTAGTCATGGATCGGAAAATTACGACAAATTTTTCAATCAAAATTTGAGTTCTTTATTTCAAGACACGGCGGCGTCCAGGGCGAGAGAAGAGGCTAGCAGAGTGCAACGTGAAGAAAGTATGGTAAGAAATCATTTTTAAAAAATTATTATAAATATGAATTTATCATTATGCGACTAAAAAAAAAAAAATATTTTTCATTTCCATTGTAAGACAATAAAATATGATTGGTTTCAATTAAAAGAATTTTTTTATTATTAAGATTAAAGCCAAACAAGAAGCTTTAAGGAGAAATGGTGGAAAATTAATATTGGAAAAACTACGCCCAGAATCGCCAATTGGAAAAATAAAATCCTCAAAAAAATTACATATGAGAAAAACAAAAGACAATATTGTGACTAAAAAAATTCATTCAAGTTCTTTTGACCCGGTACCCATAGTTGAGTCAGATGAGATTGAAAGGCAGCACCAGCTCAAACAAAGAGATTTTCTTATCAGAAGCTATGGACTTATTGAGCAGGTGTGTCGCTATCACTTTTATAGGTATTAAAACTATTACTGAAGAGAATAGTTTTCCCCTTCTCCCTTTGGGAGTAAGTAGTCAAGATGAAAGAAAACTTTATTTAATGTTTACTCTTTTTATAATGTAATTTTTAAAAATAAGAATATATGTTAAATTTATATTTAAGTCCGAATTATTTTCTGCCAAAGAAAAGGAAGATGGGGGGGGGGGTTGACTTTTTTTTTGCCAACTCATGCCTTATTTTGTGCAATGTTTTATTTCAATATTATATTTTTTCATAACGAGATTGTCGTCAGAGTATTTTTAATACTTCAGAGTATTTTTTAAAAGGAAATATTAAAGCCAAACATTACGACATTAAGTATATAAAAGTTTTTGATCTAATACAGATTAAGTAAATTATTTTACTTAATGAATTATTATTTGCAATTTCCACTTATTCGTCGTTTGGTAACTTTTAAAAATCAAATTGAAATCGCTTCACATCATTCGTTTCAAACTAATGTATTCTTTTCACTACAGAAAATGAAATTAAATGAATAATAATAATGATAATAAATTAAAAATGGTAAAAAAAACCATGCTAAAAACATAATATAGAAGTATTTAATATTTAAACAAGAGAAAACAATAGTGAATTTCTGCGGGAAACTATAAAAAAAAAGCTTTTTCTCTCTAAAAAGCTATGGATTTATGGAACTTTTTTTGATTTTAATTAAAATTATTAGTAATATTAATAATAATTTTTTTGTGAAAAAACAAAACTTTGATCTTAATAGAATTGAAAAGATTAACTTTAAACTTGGCAAAGAAAATTCGACGTTGAATTTTTAAAAAAATTTTCTTTTTCTTACAATGACAATGACAATGTTGATAAATTTATTTATTTTTATTATTAATTATCGCAAATAAAATAATAATATTATTATAAAAAGTTTTAGGCAATATATACAACACTAATTTTTAAATAAATGTTGTTATTAAAAACATGGAAATGTTGTAACGATAAGTTTTTATTGTTTTCAAAAATTTACTTTATTTAGCGTTTTATTAAACTGCTGCTCAACCACAAAATAATAAGGAACATAAAATATGTATTTGTAATTATAGTATTGTAAAAAATAATTTTTCTCGGAGTAAAAGTGTTTAATTTAATTTTTTTTTGTATTTTTTTTCCCAGATATATCTTTGCTTAAAAAAAAATAGAACGTTAAGACCTGAAGATGAGGCAAAATATGGACTTTATGGGAAGCAAACAATTGGAAATTTTGAAAACAACTCAAATACAAAAAAATTTAAAGGACTTGTTCAAATGAATGCATTTAATATGAATTCTAGAGAAAACCACATTTTACAGAATTCCCAAGCCAGTGTTATGAATTTTAATATTTCTAATAATATTTCTAATAATAATAATATTAATAATATTAATAATATTAATAATAGTAATATTAATAATAACAATAATATTAATAATAATCCTAACAGTAAAAGTAACAATTTACCAGTTCAGGTACTTTACTTTTTTTTTTTAATAATTATTTTAAACTTGGATATTGAAAAATTATTATTATTTCTTTTGTAGAATGTTAAAAGAAATTCAGGGGGAAATTCATCGAGCAATAATAATAATAATAATAATAATAATAATAATAATAATAATAATAAAATTTCTAACAACAACAATCAAATTATTGATAAAAAATCAGATGAGCCAATAGAAAAAACATTGGAAAAAAATTTTGAAACAAATAACGATATAACAAATAGAGCGTCGGAAACTTATCACATGGAAGGAGGTATTAAAGGTACGTTTTTATTATTTAAAATGCCTAATTTTTAACCTGAAATTAAAAAAAAAAAAAAAAATTATTATTCGTTTCAGCAGGTATTCACGAAAATTCTCGAGAAGTTCCACTTTCAATTAGGCCGATACCTTCGCATTCTTGGCCGTATTCAGGTTCGAATAACCCACCAGTTTGGGCAAATCATACAGGACCGATTGCTAATTCAAATATTGGATATGAAAATGATATGAGATATAGGAAAAGTGCAATGTCTAAAGTTTGCAAAAACAACGCAAAATTACGTTATCATTTTGACAAAAGAGAAAAGTATCATTATGCAAATATGGATTTATGATATTGATGTTTATATTTAATGAAAAATAAATTTTAAATTTCACATCTTCATTTGCGCATCAATTACGAATGTGGATAATTGAATGAAAAAAAAAAATATATATATATATATATGTATATATATGAATACTAAGTAGAAATTTTGTTATTTTTAAATTTGATTTTTTTTCTATACAAAAAAAAAAAAATTTATTTTTAATTTCTATTAAATATATACAATTCATTTTTTAAAATTTTTTTCATTTGTTTGTTTTTTTTTTCCGGTAGGTTAATTAAAAAAAAAATTAAAATAACGTTTCAGTTTTCCATTCGGAAAATAAATCGTATATGTCAAACGGACAACTCGGATACGATTCTGCACAATTTTTATTTCCAACAAGTCCAGCTTTTTCCGCCTCTAAATATTCTGATGATATATTTTCAGACGACGTGGACGAAGGCCTAGTTAGAAAATTTTAAATGTACAAATCAGAAAAAAAAAAAAAATTTTCTTCTTTTTTTGTTTTACTTACGTAAACATTAAATGAATGATGTCGCCAACGAGTCCATTGTGGCCGTAAATTGGATTCATTTGCGTTTCACATATGGTTCTTAATAAACAGGGTTTTCCAAAAAATCCTCGGCTAAAAAATTAAATTAACTTTTGTGGGGAGAAAATTTTTGAGTAAAAAAAAAAAAGAAAACTTACTGCAACATTATTTCTTCAATGTATGTATAAAGTTTTTTTCTTGTTACTGCTCGAGCTTTTCTAATTTCTGTATGATATGGACCCAATGCAAGTTCTGTAGCATTTGATGGTAGAATATAATTAGCTTCGTAATTAAAAGACATTGAAATCTCGTATTGAGGAAGATCTACAGGTAATGCCAAGGCAAGATAAATCTGTAAATTCAGTGATCAGTATTAATATTTATTCTGGAAAAAACAAAAAACAATATTTAGTAATACATACCCCCATGGCACTTCCGGAAGGAAAAAGAACATTTCTTTTTTCTCTAGAAATAATTTCTTTTCCGTGAATAATTGAAAAAAATAAAGTTATCACTGTTAATTTTATTTCCATTTTTTTTTTTTTTTGTCTCTACAACATGAACAAAAATCAAAGTGTAAATAAGATTTTTAAAAGTATAACTAACGGAAAAATAATTCAATAATTATTTATTTATTTATTAATTAGTATTGTTAGACCAAATTATTGCTTTTTTTTAACGGTTAATAATTAGATTTGTAATAAGAGGACTTTTTACAAAGTTTATATTTAAAATCAATAATCATTAATCAGTTCCTTTCTTTTTGTTTTATTTTGTTTTTTTTTTTTTTGTAAATCATGAAAATTTTTACAAGTTATATTTTATTATTTTTATGTGTAATAATAATTCAGGATTCGAATGAAAAAAAAATTAAAAACAGGAAGAAAAGGTATCTCCTCACGTATCCAAATCCAGGTAGTAAAGTTCAAGTGAGTTTTTTTTTTGTCACATTTTTAACTTGAATTTTCGTATAAATAAATTTTTACATCTTATTAAAATATATATAATAAAAAAAAATTTTTATAGTTGATTATAGGTACGGGAGTACCCATACCATTGCAAAACCATGCCATAACTATGGGATGGGTAGTAAAGGCTAAATATTTGCTACCCGTAAATGCATCTGACTATACTCAACCGTACATTGAATTTCAAAAACGTTCTCTGGATAAAAAAGCGACAAGATACGATTATTATAAAATATTTGAATATGCAGCTGAAAGGTATTTAACCTTAAAATTTTTATTTAAATTTTTCCATTATTTAATCAATAATAATAATAATAATTAAATATAGTTTTGGTGGGGGAGGAAAAGAATGCATGCTTCGGAGTATATGTGAAGCATCTAAAATACCATTTAAAGCTTCTAATTTAATCGGACAAATATTACAAGTTTTTTTATTGTGAGTTTATTAATTATTTAATTTTAATACAATATATTTTGTCTTTTAGTACATAATAATAATAATAAAAGTATTTTTAGGCCTTCGTCCACGGATGAAATGCCATCTTCAAGAACGGATATGGATTATCATACGGCCGAAAGATTGGGAAAAGAAAATAATGTCGATTGTAAAATTATTTATCCATCTTGTTCTTTGACTCTAACGGATTATTTGACCAAAATTGTTTAAAAATAATTTATTTATTTATAAAAGTAACATTTTCTTAATCTTTAATTATTGAATGATTTTTTAAATAAACATATAAAAATTTTTCAATATACTCTTTTTATGTATTTTTTGCCCCTTTCAAATTAATAAACAATAAATGACATATAAAATAACTTAAAATGATATTTAATAATATATATTATTTATATAATATATTATTAATTTAAATAATATATACTAAAGAAAAACTTATTTTTTATGTGGTTTTAAAAAAGTTTCGGATGTTATTTCGCATAAAATTTGTTTAAGGCAAGCGGAAATTTCATCATGACGTCCATCATCATACCTTAACACAAAATAAATTTAAATAAATAAATTAATTTTATATTTTTCTCATTGATATGTAAATTATTTACCTATAAAATCCATTAAGTAAAAATTTAAATAATGAAAATTGTTTATCATTACGAGATTGTGAATTAAATTGTTTTGTATCACCAAGAGGTAAATTAGAATTATGTTGAAGTGCTAATATAACACCTGCCACATTATTTTTTATGTCACTTTCAGCGGATAATCCAGCGGTTATCTGGAACAAAATTAAAAACATAATTTCCTCCCTTTCTTCCTCCTTAATTTTCTTTAAAATTAAACAACGAGAAAAAAAAATTTTAACTTACTTGAAAAACGCTATTTGGTGAATATGACAGAAAACTTCTTTTTAATCTTTCATAATTTTTTTTATCAAAAAATTCAAAATCTACAATTAAATAATATTATAAATAAAAAAACAAAATAAAGACAAAATTTAAAAAATAAATTTTTTTTTTTTTTACCATTTTCAAATCCCATTGTAAAATTTAATAAAATAATTTTGTACATAAAAAGTAAAAAAAAATTCATTTTTGTTTCATTTAACTTCCAGCAGATCATTATATTTCTGTCATAAATTATTTTCAATATCTATATTTATTTAACGGAAATAAAAATTTTTTTTATTCGTATTTAATAAAAAATTATTAATAAAAAAGTCAAATATTTGACATAAATTACGAAAGGAAAAAAAAAAAAAAAAAAAGAACGTTAGATTTGTAATAACGGTAAAAAAAAAAAAAATTCAAATTAAATAATCACGATTTAAAACGAACCTCAAATTAATTTCATGTTAAACAAATTTCAGTCTCTTCAATAACTTTTGTACATATTTTACAAGAATATTTTAAATGGAAAAATTTTTTTTTTACGTTAGTTTTAGTTTGGTTTTTATTATTACAAAATCAGGTGGATTAAGTTTGACTTCATCATCGAATAACGAATATAATGAAAAAGAAGAACCTGGATCCTTAATTTTATCTAGAAAACGAAGATATGTTGTTTTTCCAGAAGGCAGCACTCTTTCCGTAAGTATTCGTCATGTATTAATGTATTCTCATTACTTTTGAATACGACTTGAGTTTTTTTAATATCCTAAATAATTATAATTTGACATATTGACTTTATAATTGATATAACTTATTTTAAATTTAATTTGAAGGTAGCCGCATGCGTTTCACCAACAGCATTGACTGGAGCTGGAGCCATATTTACAAGCGGAATAGCCTGGGCTTTATCATACGATCTTCCAAATGAAACGATACACACTAAACATCATCATCATCATCAACAACATTACATAAAACATGAATATATGATTCACAGGCAAAAAAGAGACCTTTTTGTTCGAATGGAAAAGCTTATAGATAGGTAGGAAGTAAATAATATATGATAAATAAAAGGGGAAAACAATTTATAATGTTTAGAACCTTTTTTTCTCAAATTGCTGAACATTTTGTTTTTTTTTTGTTCATACAGATCAGGTTTCGATGGGAAAAGTTGCGTTTTAAAAACAATTTGCGAAACTGCTCAAAAAATAACATCTCGTGAAGGAATTTTAGAAGAAATTTTACGCATTATTTTTACGTAAGACATATAATAATTATTATTATTATTAACTTTAATTACTTTATGTGTAATTAAATAACTTTAAAACAAAATCAATTAATAAATTGCAATTTCAGGTATACAACGAAAACATTTTCAACTAATAATGAAATCACATCAGATTTTTACGGATTGGCTCAAAAAGCAGGAGAAAATAATGAAAATTGTAACAAATTATTTCCGTGTCCTGTTAGTTTATTGCAATTAGGATTAAATGTAGGCAAATATTGAAGTTAATATTTATAACTTATTTAAATTACACATTTTTTTAAAAAAAATAATTATTTATTATATATTTGAAAATCAATCATATGTGAATTTTCCGATTTGCATGCCGGAAAAGGGCTCTCATTCAAAATAAATTTTTTATACAAACAATCGTCAATAAATTTATTAAATAAAATTACAATAAATGAATTTGTTTATTTATTAATATTAATTTTTTCGCCATATTTCAATAGCATAGCTTTTTTCCTTTTTTCAACTAATCTTGTTAAATTTGCATCCAATTTTTTTATATTGCTTGCCAGGTTGAAATATATATTTAAACTCTCTCTTGCTTTTATCTGAGACCAATGTTTGCTTACGACAAAATTATCAATTATTTGTTTCATAAATTCTATTTTAGCCTTTGAAAGTGCTCCTTGTTCTTTTTTTTTGGCTTTATTATTTTAATAAAAAAAAATTTAATTTAAATTAAAAATAAAAATTTAAAAAAAAAAAAAAAACTCATCATTTAAACAAATTATTATTACCAATTAAAAAGTATTCAGTATCTTTACCAATCAAACAATGTTTTGGAATTCTTACGACATTTAAAAACAATGCAGTTAAAGCTTTTTCCCTTAATATTTTTTTTTCTTCTTCGTTTTGATAATATAAAGCGAAAAATAAATTTTTAATTGCCGTTTCAGTGAGTATTGTAAATAGGTAATATTTTGAAAAGTTAATAGTTTTTTGCTTAACAAAAAAACTTGTTCTATGTCCCGTGTATATTTTACTAAAATCCCCTTTTTTCATTATCCATTTTCTTTTTATTTTATTATCAATTATATTACTTTTTTTTGTAGTACGATCATCCGAATGGAAAGTGAAATGATTTTTCAAATGATAAATATCACTTTGTTTATTTTTCGTAACTATATATTTTAAATATTTAGTTATGCTGTATTTATTAATTAACGGTTTTTCATTGACTATTTGATAAAAAAAAAGTACGATCGCTATGAAAATATTAATTAACATAATTGTTATAAGGCTGACGAAAAAGAAAAAATAAACAACCGTTACAAACCAAGGACAAAGGAAAAACAATTGAAAATCAAATGTATCATCTAATGCAACGGAACGTCCAATAATTGAAGACATGGCAAGGAAATAATTGCTAAATTCGAAATCGTATGTAATTAATGTTAAAAAAAAAAACGAAGTAAATGAAAATGTTAAAATAAAAACGAAGTCCAATAAAAATCCAATATGACGGTAACAATGAGTTAAAGCCGAATAAATTCTAAAAAACATAACTCTATAAGATAAAAGACGAAATAATTTGAATGAAGCCAAACAAACCTGAAAAATAATAATTTTTTTATATTAATTTGAAAAAAAATTAATTAATAAATCATTATGTTTTTTTTTTTTTTTTTACCAATGCTGCTTCGGCGTAACTGGTCCATTTGTACCAAGCAGCGGCATAAATAAAACTAACAAAAACATTATTGCTTGATTTATCTAATATTTCAACTAAATTATTAACGTAATGACTCCTCAAAAAAATCGATACCACACTAAATAATCCACAAAAAATAATGAATAAATTTAATACAGCAAAAGTCCTGTCGACAAAAAAAAAAAAAAAAAAAACAATTAATTTACAAAAAATTATTATTATTATTAAATACTTTTTGAAAATTATTATTATACTTTTTTAAATAAACTTTTATTGAGGTTCTGTACACTCGAACACCTTCTCGACATAAAAGACAAAAAATAAGTAATAGAAATAAAACTGACATAAAAAGATAAATAATTTCGAAATTACGATCTGTAAATAAAAAAACGCATGGATCTATCTGAAATGTAACAAAAAAAAAAAAAAAATTTTAACATTTAGTTTCTTTTTTTTTTTAATTACAATAGTTAAATAAAAAATGATAAAAACCTGATAACTAGGTATTAAATATCCAGTCGCTGATTTTTCCACAATTAAAGTAACCACAACGAAAATATTTGTATTCACACAATACGTTGTAAATTCAATAAAAATCTAAAGAAATGTAAAAAAAAAATTTATAAAATAATGTAAACCAAAAGAAAAAAAAAAAAAAAAATTTTTTTTGTTTACCACTCTCGTTTGTATGTCGATCCATTGAAGATTATGCATGTAATCTATTATTAATTGAGAATCGTTGAAATTTTTGGCTAAATTTAATACATATCCACCACTTGAATAATATGAAAATTGTGAAAAAATCGGAAGAGTATACGTTTCTAATCCCGTTTGATAATACCATGGAGATACTTTTAAATCATTTAAATCTTTTTTAGGAAATAAAGCCCATCTAATAGTAAAATTTCCTTTTTCTTGATTGAACATTGTTAATTCTTGAGCACATTTTTTGTTTCTACTTTTTATATATTTTGATTCAGTGCAAGTTTCTATTTTTTTACGTATAGAATATAAAGGAAAATAAATGATGATCGAGTTTTATGGTAGCAAAAAAAAAAGAAAAGTCAATTATAAAAAACAAACCGGTGGTTGCTCTTAATTGTCTCAATCTTGGAATTCCTATTAGTTTTATTGCTGGATCCATTGTCCAACTTCTTTGAAACACGGTTGTATTATTTGAATAACCATAACTTTCATAGTCACTGGGACTCATATTATCTCTTTCAAGTTTTTCACGTTGGGTATGATTTATCAATAACGCAGGGAGAAGAGATTCTTTTAAATAAACCACTAATCTGAATATTACGTGAATATAATCAAGTTAATTATTTAAATAAGTTTCAAGTTTTTTTTTTTACTCACGAGTTATAGGTCTTGATTTTTGTAAAAGGCAAAGAATTTGTATAGTATGAGTGAACCACCAAGTTTTTTGTAACGTCGTAACTAAAATACCCCGTGGCAGCTCTATTATATAAAACCAAATAACAAACTATCAACATAAATATCATGTATACTAAAAGGTCGGCCGACAAATTACGAACTTCAATATTATATTTAACATCATCCAACCGATCCTGTAACAACAACAACAAAATCTATTTTAGTTTTATTTTAACAAATGACAATACACAAATTTAAATGTTTATTTTTGAAAAAAAAATTCATGTATATTTTACCACTAATCTCCAAAGAGGAGTAGGTCTGTAAAGGTTTCTATTGACTTTTCTGTTTTTTTTTACATCATGCAATTTTTGCGGGTTTTCCGGATTAAAAAGATATAATGAATAAACTCTTCTATAATCAAGTGTAGGCCTCCTCTGAAAAAAAAAAAAAAAAATTACATACATATGTTTATTACTTAAAAAATATATTTATAATATAGTGTGACTTTTTTTTAAGTATTAAAGCTGTTACCTTAAAAAAAATTGAATCTATTATTATTATAACTGCAATACGAAACGGAGTAAATATAAAAAAGCCGAGAAAAAACGATGTCAGTATTCCTGTCAGCCATAAATATGATTTTATCATTCCAAAAGACATGCCATAACGAATGAGAATCACGCTGGATGCCATAGTTACGCTTATAACGAGTAACCTAAAAATATAATTTTTTTTTTTTTTTTTAATTTCTTTTTAATTTTATTAAATTTAAATATTTTAAAATAAAAATAATTACCATCCGATGTATTTACAAGAATGAGGAAACCAATATCTTCCTTCTTTTCTTAATCCAATAAAATCCGAATCAATTAATGGATGCTGTCGATCTAGAATTAAATAATATAAAATTTAAGTGAGAAAACAAAAGCGTTGCCAATT